CTCTCTCTCGCTCTCTCTTCTTCCACAGGGGCAAAGCTGACTGCATGTCCCATTTTGAATTGAGACCAATCGGGGGCTCGACCCCCACCAGTTTTCATCTCACAACCCGGATTGACACAGAGATTGTGGACAACGGCGATTAAACACTGCGGAGCAAGGAGCACAGATCTCGGATGCCTCCAGCATCAGATCTTGAAACTCCTCGGACGTCAAGTTGTGCTTCCTGGGTCCGCGAGCTAAACCGTGCACCAGCAGAACCCGTCTCAACACGAGTGCGTGGGCAGGGCCTGATCTCATTACTTTCGATCGCCTCAAGCCTTACGACTCGAGTTTGCGGGAGTTCCCCCTGGAATCCACAACTATGCATGTAACCCCTCCGCCTTATGCATGGTGACAGGTGATGCACACTTGTTGCTGCTGCTGCTGCTGCAACTTTTCTAGCAGTTCCCAGATAATGCAACTGCCTTTTTAGCACTCGCACTCGACCAGGTTCTGCCTTTACAACACTTCGAGTGGGGAACGGTTTGATCAATACCATCTAGCCAAGATCAAACCGTTTCAGCATCCACGTGTGCCCCAAACCCAGACAAAAACCATGCAGAACATGACAGCAATGGAAAGCAACCACTGTATGCGAAAACCACCTTGCGGCAAGACATCCACCAGTGTCATGGCACTTGGGCCTAGCGGCGGACATGTCACATTGCCTCCTTCGTAATACCTTGGCGGTCAAGTCACGGCACGTTCCAATTGCAGCACTAGCACCTTCTGACGAAACAACCGGATATTCAGAACCGTTCCCAGACCACGACACTCCGAGGTAAATGGGCACTATCACTATTTCAGAGATCCTCCATTTCGCAAGCGATAAACCCGAAATCTTCGCCCATGCTGCACCTTCACGGCCTGGTTTCTGAATCGCAATCAAAACCAGGAAGCGTGATCAGAGAATCCGCCGCCACGTCCATGAGGTCAAGGGTCTCCTCTGTTTTGAAATTTGGGACGGCGGTTCTGTTGATGACAGGTTGCGGCTCATGGTCAACAGGGAAGCGAAACATACATTCGTCCAGAAGTTCCGTCTCGTTCAACTGATGCTGCCTTGCAGAGCCATCCCTCAATGCATACCCTCATACCCTCTGCACTGGAGTTGATGCGTGGATCCATGCAGCATCCCTACGAGGTGTTGGTGTGGGTGGGTGTTGGTGGGTGTGTGTATTGTGTGCTTCGTGTGTCGTGTGCCGTGTGGTGGGTGGGGGTGAGGGTGGAAAACCTGTACCTAAGGAAGTGATCGCCAAGATTTGTGTGATAATTAAAGCTGAATAAACTACCAAGATGAGATTATCCACATGGGGACTGGTTATCCATGCAAGTGCAAGTAAGAGGCTTGCATTGGATACTGATATCCGGTCTGATCAACCGGACGTACCTGCAAAGTTTCACTACCTGCTGTGCAAGTACTCCTATGCGCCTAAGTCCTTGCATGTCGCGTTATTTGATGCTTCCCCCCATCTGCACACACGCCACGTGTCCAGACCCGCGTACCGAGTGTAGATCTTCAAGGGGCTCCCGCGCAAACCCCAAAACCCAGGTACCGAGTGTAGATCTTCGAAGCGTCTCTCACGTGCAGCACCGGACCCCACGTACCGAGCGTAGATTTTCCAGTCCCGCGTGCCGCGTGCACCCCCAGACCCGCGTACCGAGTGTAGATCTTCAAGTCTTCAACCACCGCCAACCCGCCAACACAACCAACCACTGGCAAGACGAGGAGCGCGAAGCGCAATAAATAACCAAATTCTTAAACCATCCCCAAAAAATAAAATGTTGAAAAAAAACGCTTTTTCACACAAAGGGAACGCTCGTCAGAGCCTCGCGTGCTAAATGCGACAGACAAGACGAAAGAGCAACAATAGAAAAAGATGGGGGGGGGCGCTTCTTTTTTCAAAATCTTCCTACCAAAACGAAGCCACAACAACCCTGAACACTAAACCGAAAAACCCCCAACGCCTAAACAACCCCGAAAACATCTGCAACAAACACCCAAAGCTCATGGAGGAAGTAGTGGCTGTTGTCCTGGCTGGGATGCTAAGTTGCAAAACGGTCTCGCGGTTTAGAGTGGGAATCGACTGCCAACCACTCGCTCGCAATCCTTTCATCGAACTGTTCGTCTTAGCGCTGTTCACCACGTGGGCACTCGCTCTACCTGCTTGCTGCACAGCTCGCTGCCGGCAACTATCAAGCTTTAGCTGTTTGGTACCACAACACAAAGATGGTGCTAGTGACTGTAAAGACAGCTCCGCCAACAGCCAAATATGAAGAACAAAAATCTCCTTTGGCCACAAATGCGTCAGTCCGTTGCTCTATCTTCTCATTCGCCTTCTCAATCGTGCTCATAAGTTCCATCTTCACACTCTTGACGTCCGTCTTCAGGTCCTTAACGTCCGTCTTCACGTCGAGCAGCTGCTGGCACTGCGTCGATGCGAGCATTCACAGCTGTGAATTGGTTGTTGAATCCGACACCTGCCAGCGCGGCGACCAAAGTGAGCAAAAGCGTGACTGCGTCTGCACCCGACACCCCGCTTGGCCCTGTAGGTGTGGCGCTGGTGTCTGACCCCGTGTTTGGTTCACTGGGATTCACTGGTCGCGTCCAGCTATCTGCGCGGCTTGGGCGCTTTTGAGCTCGGAGGGTTGGCGAACGTCAGTGCTAAAGATGATGCTTCCCCACACCGCAAGCATCACGATACCTAGTGGGCGAGATAGCCGCATGATGGCCAGAAGCGGAAGAATATGAGACTCCTGTCCTCCAGCAGATTCGAGCCAATAAAGAATATGGAAGCTTGTCCCCTGAAGCACTGCATGTGTCATGTGCAACAGCCCTACCCTCACTTCGGCACAAACCGTGGCGGGAGCACCACCTCTTCGAACGCGCCGCATGGCGGTCTTCACGTCCGCCGACGCAGTGGGAAAGGTTGGCACCACACAACGCAATCTGCTAAGTGAGTGAGTGAGTGAGTGAGTGAGTGAGTGAGTGAGTGAGTGAGTGAGTGAGTGAGTGAGTGAGTGAGTGAGTGGAGTGAGTGAGTGGAGTGAGTGAGTGGAGTGAGTGAG